TAATACCTCCTACCAAACGACCCCTTAAGATTTTATTCACAAAACTACTTATCTTCATCACTATTAATTTTCTTAACTAAATATAATTTCAAGGGACGTAGTGTATTTACGTAGAACACATAAAATAATACCGACATGCATCGCCCTGGAGAGCAGGCAAATCTTGGTTGGTGTTGCTACCTACAAAGCAACAAGAGCACTTATACTGCCTCTGTAATACGTGAAAGGGATCAAAAACATTTTAATTCTATTCACTGTCATACTTAATTAAATATTTGCACCTAATGCATATATTCACAAATAAATTCACAAATACAAACAAGGACGTACCTACATTATAAGTTACAGGCTCACGTCAATCCACCAAATTTTATTTATGTATTAAGATATCCATTAAATATCTATTATATTATTTGATTATAAACTCAATTATTTGTATATTTAATTTGAGATCGTTATAGTAACTCAGAAATTTCAAATTCTAAATCCACATCTAAATACAAGGTGGAAATGCCTCCTTTTTCTTGTTCCTCTTTTTAGAGAATATATAATGTTTTCATGATTAGGATTGAGAAATAATTGATTGATAGTGTTTCTAGAATTAGTTATATGGCAACAAACTTATAATTAACTTATTCTTTTCAGGCTCGCATTCAAACCTTGATGCATTTCTAGTTCCACGGATTTGTGAAAGAAAAAGGAAAATATTAGACCTAGTTCTTGTCTTTATATTGGTTCTCTTTGCATTAAAAGAAGAGACGTGAAGAAAATGGTAAGCTGCAGCCGCAGAAGCAAGACATGCAGTTTGTTACGGAAAGTTAAGGGGCTATCGTAGGGACAGCAATATAATATCTTTGAAAAATCTTTCCACAGAATATAATATTTCACATCAAATTAATATACAAGGGTGTCTAAAATTAATATAAAAGGCAAATTATTACTCTATATTTAAGGGTGGCATAGCTCTTTAGTTAACTCAAGTATAACTAATTTCTTATATAAAGATACCAAAATACATACTCCCCTGTTTTAATTTATGTGAACATATTTCCTTTTTAGTCCGTGCAAAAAGAATGACTTCTTTCCCTATTTGAAAACAATTTACCTTTATGTAATGATTTATAGCCACACAAAATATATGTGATTCATTTTACACCACAAGTTCAAAGTCTTCTCTCTTTTTTTAAACTCCGTGCCCAGTCAAATGAGTTTACATAAATTGAAACGGAGGGAGTAGTATAATTAATCGAAGGTTAAATGTGTCGAGCTACAAGAACCAAAATCAAATTTATTAATAATTAACAAGAGTAACTTATTTGGCCAAACTTCTAAATCAGCTTATTTGAAAAATGCTTTCTGAAAAGTGCTTTTAAAAAAGTACTTTTGATGATAAGTAGTTTCTCTTTGAGAAGTAATTAGTGTTTGGCCAAGCTTTTAAAAATTATTTTTTAGTATATTTTTCTCAAAAGTATTTTTTCAAAAAAAAGCTTGTACTTTTTTTCCTTCTAAAACTTTAGCCAAACACCTCCACTTTTCAAAAAAATTATTTTTTGGCAACAAAAAAAAATTACTTTTGGCCCCAAAAAAACTTAGCCTAATAGGCTATAAGAAACTAAATGTGCTATTATCCCTATATAATTAAATGTGGTCTCACACTTACAAAATATAGGGTGACTCTAGCCATGAATCTAAGGTTTTAAATAGGAGTCCGAAACTGAAATAATGGCTTTTTTGACATAAAATATGTTTATACAGTTAAAAAAAAGTTACATTTCTACATAAAACGCAGTATAATACTGTGTTTTACTTTAACGGAAAGTTAACCGTTAAAGTAAAAGACAGTATTATAAAAATTATTTTTTTTATAGGAAAACGTAGTATAGTACTACGTTTAAGGAAAACATAGTATTATACTACGTTTTGCTATAAAAAAAAAATATAACCCCTCCTTCTTCCCCACGAAAGAACCAGTCGACATTTTTTTTTAAAAAACCCCTCCATTTCTGCTGGTCCCCCCCCCCCCCCTTTTAAAAAAAAGTTCTTGGGCCCCACCCGTCACACAAAAAGTGAAGAGCGTAGGTCCTGCATACAACCCAAGCCTTGAATTCCTTCTTTCGGGGTCAAAATTTTCAATTTTCGATATTTCAAAAAACATAAATCGAGGTATTCCGATTTAGTTTATGTCGAAACTCGTAGAGCATATGCATATTTGTTTTCTTGAATGTGTTTCCACGTTGATTTGTATTATGTTTGCGATTAAATTTGTATGTTCTTTTTACCCGGATTAAATTATTAGTGTTTTAAAAAAATAGTTAAAACTTGATAAATAATTTTTATTGTTAATGAAATTGTTCACAAATATCTTTTACTGTTTTATATATAATTTCGTGTATGTTATGTTCATATATTTGTTGTTTTTATTTAGTTTAGATTATTTATTTGCTTAAAGAATAGTGGCCTTTTAGCGTAGTAAAATATAGAGCTTTTTAGCGTAGTAAAATATAGAGCCTTATAACGTAGTAAAATATAGAGCATTTTAGCGTAGTAAAATATAGAGCCTTTTTAGCGTAGAGTCTCTGTAGTTTAAGTATGTACTAACTACAAACTCTACCCAATTACACTTTACAAAATTAACAAATTAATATATGTTCTCAAATTAAATATCGAGCGTGGAACTCATAGTTGTATACCATGTCCAATTAAAAATTAATTATTTAATTTATAAAACTAACAAAAATCTAAAAATATTGAAATTGACACATAAAAGAACTAAAGCATAGAAAAATTGAAGTTTACCAGTCGTCTTGTGGATTATATAAAGTCGAAATATTATTTTCTCGCTGCTCATTCGCCGACGGTGACAAGTTTAAATCAATGCAAGCTCTTTCATCAGGAATCCGTCCGGCAAAAACTGCTCCAAAATAACCACCCCTTGACTGGGGGTTATCCCTACTATGCACACCCTCATTATTGGGAACGTCTTCAACCTTGACGTACATTTCCAATAATTTTATTACAATAAATTTCCTGTATTCATCCGGAATCCGCAAAAAATCTCTAAGAGTTTCATCATCTTCGATGTTAAACTCAGAATAATAAGCAAACCCCTGCGGAGTCATAGAATACGGAAATCTACCGGTTACTTTAAGGTTCACCGAACGTTTCCTCACACTCATTTTTTTTACGTAACAACGATACCAATTTATCGTACTCCATTGTAAGCGGCAATTTAATATGACACTGTGGAGGTGAGCTATACCTCACAGAGTTATTCTCTATTACAACCTCACCCCCTCCCCCCTCCCCCCCTCCTCCCAATATAATGAAACCTTATTTTTGACTCTTCAGACATTATAAAAAAATGCTTGATAAGATGAAGAGAAGTATGAACGGAAGTTTGAAGGAAAGTTTTGAATGGATTTTCATAAAATTCTAACGCCTTTAAATAAGGCATGTCCTAGCTTGGGGTGCAGATTTTTTTTTATGTAAAACGCAGTATAATATCACGTTTTATGTATTTGAATTATTGTTATGTCAGTTATCCGCAGAACACTTATTTGTGGGCCCAAATTTTAGTGTAAAATGTATTATAATACTACGTTTCTGTAAAACGTAGTATTATAATACGTTTTACACTAAAAAGCAAATTATTTATGTCAGTCCTGCAGAACACTTATTTGGTGGGCCCAAATTTTGGTAAAACGTAGTATAATACTGCGTTTTACTTTAACGGCTAACTTTCCGTTAAAGTAAAACGCAATACTGCATTTTATGTAGAAATGTAACTTTTTTTAAACTGTATAAACGTATTTTATGTCCAAAAACCCATTATTTTAATTTCGGACTCTTTTAAATAGGATGCTAATTATTTTCAGCTAAACTCAAAATGCATATATCTATTTCTGGAAGATTTTCCAAAGATCAGTATCATTCCACGTGTAAAATGTAATTACAAGAAAAAACAATAATTACGTGTTTGGAACTTTTCGTGCTACCTTATCATGTAGAGTCACAGTGCATGCTAATAAATATACTGTCCCACATTATATTTTTCTTGGAATATAACGTGACTGATACTGGATTAGCATTAGTGTAAGAGACAACTTGACTTTGAGGGCTCACAAGGTCCCCTACCTTATCTGCCATATGCATTAAAATCAACACCTCAATTTATTAAATGCAATTTAATAATACCCTTTTTAGAGTCCTAATTCTTCTCAAATTGCTTGATATATTCATGTGGTGCACAACTCAGCCATCAAACTCCTGCATAACCACGAAAATAAAAATTAAAAAAATAAAAAATATTAATGTCTACTTAACTTTTTCAAGAATTGCTCAATTTGTGCAAACTTTTATAAATTAAAAAAAAATGTTTATTTTAAATTGTAACTAATAAAGAATAGTTTGAACATATAATTAAGAGTCTTGTTAATGTCAAAAAGGAAGAGCGCTGTGTCTCTCAAGACTTGATAACGTACTCTAGATTTTCTGGTTCTTTCTTTTGTCTTATCTCAACATGAGTAACGCTAACCGAAGTACCTAACTTGGCCTTTAGGAGAAAAAAAAGAATATTAAAAAATTAACAACGAAAAACAACAAACAATAAGGAATCTCAAAATTCAATTACTTAATCACCCACGTGGCACTTTTTCCAACATTCATTAGGGATTGATTATACACTAAGCTACTAAGAGAAAAAAAAAGTTAAGTTATATACAAAAAATAGTGAAAAAATTTGAGTTAAGTTCTAGTGAAAATTACTTACACAATCTAATTACTTAAAAATAATTTGATGAATAATAAATAACATGCTATAACATATTATTAAACTAAATTACGAACATTGACCAATGCCTAAAAGGCACATGTTATTTATATTTGTCTCCCTCTTTACAAACAATACGTTAAATAATTAGGACTATACAGCAAAAGAAAAAAAATAGACCATTTGTTGCATCTATAAATATCTCATTTTCCTCCAAAGATCTTCTTCTCTTACGTTAGCAAAAAGGTTCCAAAACACAAACAAAAGTAGAAATGCTTCTCTTTTTAAAATCAATAAGTTTCAGATCAGTCAATCCACAAAATCAAGAATCAGATCAACAAGATATGAAGAACAATAGCTGCAGGGAATTAGCTACAGCTACTTCAACTTCATCATCATGTATATCTCTAACAGTTTGGAGAAAATCACTTATTTTCAGCTGTAAAGGTTTCACAGTAATCGGATCTGATGGTAGTTTAGTGTATAGGGTTGATAATTATTCCGGCGGCCGCGGTCAAATCACTCTCATGGATGGCTCTGGAAAACCTATCCTCACCATATGTCGCCATAAGGTAATTACTTATACATTGTCAGTATAAAGAATTTATATATATAGTACGCCAAGCATTGCTTTTTTGGTTTTTATTATCTGTGCAAACAGTACTTGGTTCATTTGACATTTTCACACATATCAAATTAGTACAACAAGCTTTTCTGTTTTTTTTGCGGCTGTCGGTAGCTTAGAGGCGGATTAATGATTTAAATATAATTGGTTGATCTTTTAAGATTTTTAGCAAGCACTCATTGTACAATTACAATTTTTGGTTCAAATCTAATTTTTGTTGAAATTCTAGAAGATTTTTACATATAAATTCATACTCAGTATCAAAAGTTATACGATCAATTGAACCCGTAACGGAAAGACTACATTAGCCCTTGGTTGGTGCATGAAGTTTGTTTAACTCTTTTTCAACGGGGCTGACGTTGTGACGTACAAGAATTTACCATAAGATAAAACCATTTTCTCAAGCATAACAAATACTACTACTATAGGTGAACATTGATTATCTTGAGTTTTATCTTTGTTACAACTATAGTAGAATATTAGCTGTATATATATATATATATATTATAGACTTGATTTTTTTTTTCTTTTTCGTGGGTCGTGAGTTGGCAAAACCTAATATAAGGCTAGTAGCTAACCGGTTAATAAGCGAATGAGAAGGATTTTATTTCTCTTTTTTTCCTGTAAATTAAATGACATTGAAGGTAGTTTAACCTATTATAACATATTGTTATCATATTTTTCAAGTAATTATATTAGACATGATAGAAAAAGTTACATGTTGTTTATTACTTATCAATCTAACCTGAAATTTTATACTATCAGCATAGAATATAAACTCGAACATAATTTGTTTCTCTTCTTTTTCTTGCAGACGCTAAGGCTAGCAGACAACAATTGGTTCATATATGAAGGAGAAGTTGGGAATGATAAGTACAACAGTAGTAGTAGCAAGTCTTCATCGTCAAGAAAGAAGCCTATATTCTCTGTAAAAAAACAAATGAAGATTTTACACAGTAACATCAACGTTCTTGCCCATGTTTATTATCAAGGAATATCTAAGAAGAGATATTCTTATATTATTGAAGGGTCATATGCAAACCGATCATGCAAAGTGTTGGACGCTGAGTCAAGAAATGTTGTAGCAGAAATAAGGAAGAAGAAAGCAGTAACTGACGGTGTAACTTTTGGATTAGAGGTTTTTGTATTGGTTGTAATGCCAGGATTCGACTCTGGATTTGCCATGGGTATGGTGTTGTTGCTAGATCAAATGTTCTCCTAACTTGTTTCAACATGCATGTATTGTGTATTGTATTTTCTTGAGAGAATGTGATGTTGTATATATATTGTCTTGGGCATCCTCCATTCATGAAAGAAAAAATTGGGAGTTCGGCGAAGGCCAAGGTCAATTTTCTTAATATATATCAGAGTCAGACTCATTCTTATTCTTGATTTATTCTATGTTGAGCTCTGATTTATATTATCCACGTTCCAAATATTTAAGTATGGACATATGAGATTGTTTGTGGGGGGAGGGGGGGGGGGGGGAGTTTGTTAAATAATTGTTGCATTGATTGAAGAAATATTGTATTATCTCCTTATATGATTTTGAATAATCTTCATCTCATGAAATAGCTCTTAAGGTTGAGCTAGGTTAAAGACTTATTACCTTAAATTGTCCTCGATCTCATGCGGATCTAGTTTTTAAATTTATTTTGTCCGTATAAAATACTACAACATTTACCAACTATTAACCCAACAAGAATATTGACTTAATGTCTGATGTCCTAGGCGGCTTTCCAGCTATGCCCCATGATCCCTTGGACACGCCATCTCCATGGACAACCTCATTGTCTTGGCCGCTCCAAGTGACAAGTGTGTTTGTGCCTATGTCGCCCCATCAATAGGCATCGCCAGTGCCCAGCCGCAGGCAGATGCAAATAGTGCCCCTCGACAGACCGCGCCTTAGTGCGCGCCCGTTGTCAGCGCAATCGACCCATGCCCTATGGTTAGTGCCTTGCGCAGATCCTGATGCTAGCCGATACACCACCTAGGTGCAAATGTTGACCCTGTGCCAAAGAAGGATGGAAAAACCAAAGTCTGTATTGACTATAGGGACCTGAACAAAGAAAGTCCAAAGGATAGTTTTCCTTTATTAAACATCCACATTCTTGTAGATAATTGCGCAAAGCATGAGATACAATTGTTCGTGGATTGCTATGCTGGGTACCACAAGATTCTAATGGATGAGTATGATACAGAAAAGACTGCTTTCCCCACTCCATGAGGTACTTATTGTTACAGGGTCATGCTATTCAATTTGAAGAATGTAGGGGCAACTTACATGATGGCCATGAATATCATTTTCCACGACATGACGCATAAAGAGATTGAAGTATATATCGATGATGTCATCATAAAATCAAAGACACAGGCTGATCACGAGCGCGATTTGGAAAAGTTCTTCGAATGGCTGCGAAGGTATGACCTTCAGCTCAACCCAGCCAAGTGTGCATTTGGGGTTCCATCTGGGAAACTCCTCAGGTTTATAGTCAGCCGGAGAGACATCGAATTAGATCCATCTAAGACAAAGTCTATTCGGAATCCGCCACCCCCGAGAACAAAACTGAAGTCATGAATTTGCTCGATAGGTTGAACTACATCAGTAGGTTCATTGCTCAGCTCACAACTATGTGCGAGCCCATCTTTAAATTGTTGAAAAAGGATGCCGCTATCAAGTGGACAGACGATTGCCAAAAGCTTTTGACAAGATCAAATATTATCTGTCAAAACCCCCTGTACTGGTCCCACCTGAGCCTAGTAGGCCTTTGTTTTTATATCTATCGGTGATGGATAATTCTTTTGGATGCGTTCTAGGGAAACATGATGTGACATGCAAAAGGAACATGCAATCTTTTATTTGAGCAAGAAGTTCACCAATTATGAGGTTAAGTACACCCTTTCAGAAAGGACATGTTGTGCCTTGACTTGGGTCGCTCGAGGCATTATCTTTTGGCCTACATTACTTACCTCGTATCCAGAATGGATCCTTTGAGGTACATCTTCCAAAAGCCAATGCCCTTTGACAGGTTCGCAAAATGGCAAATCCTGCTCACAGAGTTCGGCATCGTCTATGTCACTCGCACTGCAAGAAAGCACATGCTTTGGAAGTTCATTTTGCAGAGAATCTAGTTGATGATGATTACAAGCCACTGAGCACATACTTCCCAGACGAAGGGGTCAACTCAATAGAGGAAGTAGTTCTAGATGACAACCATGTATGGAAATGTATTTTGGTGGGACTTTCAATATATATCAAAGGAGTTGGGATCGGGGCAATCCTCATCTCTCCTATTGGACAACATTACCCTGCGATGGCCCAACTTCGGTTCTTCTATACCAATAATACGGCATAATACAAAGTTTGTATCATGGTTTGAGAATGACCCTCGATCTGGATGTGCATGTACTATTGGTTATGGAAATTCTAACTTGCTTATCCGGTAAGCCCCAAAGTGAATGGGAGACTCGAGACATCAAGCTTATTCTATACTGAAAATGTGTGAAACACCTAAGCAAAATATTCAAGTCCATCGAGTTCAGGTACATTCCCAGTTTTCACAACGAGCTAGCCGATGCCTTGGCTACTTTAGCCTCGATGCTCCCTTATCCAGGCAACACTCATATTGATCCACTGGAAATCCAAGTTCGGAATCAACATGGTTACTGCAATATTATTAAGATAGAACCAGATGGTGAACCATGGTATGACATAAAACAATTCCTTAAAACAAGGGAATACCCAGAGCCTGCTAAGGGAGATAAAAAAAGAACTATAAGGCGACTCGTCAGTGGTTTCTTCCTGAACGGGGAAATCCTATACAAAAGGACCCCTGACTTGAACCTGTTGAGATACATAGATGCTACAGAAGTTGAGCGGATCATGAGTGAAGTGCATATGGGGGTATGTGGGCCTCACATGAATGGATACGTTTTGGCGAAGAAGATTCTACAAGCAGGGTATTATTGGCTTACTTTGGAGAGAGATTGCTTCAGTTTTGTTCGCAAGTGTCACCAATGCCAGATTCATTGTGACCTGATTCACTTGCCTCCTTCGGAGTTGCATCTCATGTCCTCTCCTTATCCTTTCATTGCTTGGAGAATAGCTGTTATTGGGCCAATCGAGCCAAAGTCTTCAAATGGGCATTACTCATTCTGGTCGCCATTGATTACTTTACCAAGTGGGTGGAGGCTGTTACTTTTAAAGAAGTCACCAAGAAGTAGTAGTAGACATTGTTCATTCCAACATCATCTGTCATATTGTTATCCCAAAGACCAGTATCACTGAAAATGCAACCAATCTAAATAATCATCTGATGAAGGAAGTATGTGATAAGTGGGGATTATGATTGCTTATTAGCACCTTTTTAGCTTTAATTTTAGTGCGAAAGTATTGAATTGTGTTCCCGAAAGTAATGAAATTGTGCAAATTGAAGGAATGCTGGAAGCTTGGTCTCCCATGATGAAATATGACTCAAAGAGGAGTGTTCCGAAGCACAAGGCAATAAATGGCGTAGAAGCACAAATGTGCGATCCGCAAAAGGAATTCTGTGACTGTAGAAGAGATTGGGGCCACAGAATTCCACTACGGCCGCAAACCAAGAAGAAAAATCTAAAAGAACTTTCAGCAATGTGCGGACCGCACATGAATTGTGCGGTCGCAGAACTGGGCTAAGAGTCAAAGATCAGAGAGTATGCCAAAAGACCTAGTCCAAGAGCCTTTTTGAAGTGCAGATCGCACAAGAATTGTGCGGCCGCAGTCTAAAAATGTGCGACCGTAGAAGATTGCCTCGAAGCCACAGTCCAGAAATGTGCGGCCACAGAACTCACCTTCTTGCCAACTGAAGAAATTTGTTGAACGCACATGGAATTGTGTGGCCGCAGAACGTCCTGAGGGGCATTTTTGTTCGTGATTTTTGGCCTTGTTTAAATAGACGAGTTCCACAAAATTAGGTTAAGTTTGAACATCAAAAGTTGTTGTAGCCATTTTTCTTTAATACTTTAGGAAGTTTTATATTATTTTGGTGTTTTAACATTAGATTTCATTGTTTTAATCTTCCATTATGAGTTTAATTGGCTTTTCTTCTTTATTTTCTATAATTTTCATTATGAGTAGCTAGATTTTACTAGGGTTGTGGCCCAACCCTAGTGTGTAAAACTCATGGGTATCTAACTTAATGGTTGTTTATGATTGAGTGTTGCTTATTTAGCTTAGTTCATGCTTCAATTTTTGAATTAATGGTTGCAAACATTGGTGCGCTGAAATGATGATTCGTTGTGGTGACATCATTGGTTTATCAAACGAGTCATAGAGTTTCCTTGTAGGCATTGATAATGTGGGAACTATGTACATGATCCCGAGGTGTATCAGAAGTGAGTTATTTTAGACATGTCACCGTATGGGAGGCATAATCTGAAGGATAAAGACATTAGCGTCAGTTATTCTTGGAAGGATATGAGTCATGAAAAGGACAACAACAATTGTTTGGTTCCATATGTGCCTTGTTTGGCAATAGTAGGTGTGACGACACAACCCGTCGTCAAGTGAGTTACCGCCCCGTTTTCCCTATTTTCTATTTCTTTATGCTTCATTATCAGTGTTGGGGGTGAACGAGTTGATTTGGAGTGGTTCTAGAAGAAAATGAGACACTTAGTCTCTTTAAGGAAGGTTTGTTTTGGAAAAAGTCAACCGGACATTGACTTACGTGTTAGAGGGCTCGGATATGAATTCTGATGATTCGGTTAGCTTCGGGGGATGATTTGTGACTTAGGAGTGTGATCGGAAGTGATTTTGGAGGTCCGGAGTAGAATTAGGCTTGAATTGGCAAATTTGGAATTTTGGTGAATTCCGGTCGATAGGTGAGATTTTGATCCAAGGGTCGGAATGGAATTCCGAGAGTTGCTGTAGCTTCATTATGTGATTTGGGATGTGTGTGCAAAATTTCAGGTCATTCGGAGGTGATTTGGGTAGGTTTTTGATCGAATGCGTGTTTCGGAAGTTTTGGAAGAACTTAGGCTTGAATTCGATGAGAAATGATGGTTTTAGTGTTGTTTGAGGTGTTTTTATGATTGGAACAAGTCGGGATGATGTTATAGGAGGTGCTGGTTCTTTTGGTTGAGGTCCCAGGGACCTCGGGGTGATTTCGGATTGCAGAACCTGTGCTGCTTCTGGTATTTTTGCTTCTACGGAAATGGGACCGCAGAAGCGGTACTGCAGAAGCGAGTCAGGAACCGCAGAAGGGACAGGCATCGCAGGTGCGGAGATGCCGACCGCATCTGCGGAGTCGCAAATGCGACAATAGGACTGCAGATGCGGAATTCTGGAAGGCTAAAGGAAAAATCGCATCTGCGTAAAAGGAATCGCAGATGCGGGACCGCA